GCGGCTGCTCAGCTCGGGCTGGACTCGAACTGCTGTTGCTCAGAGCTCAAACTCTTGAGCGAGCTCTTAACCAACTGAGCCACTCGGCCAGCCCACGAGAAAAATCTTCTTTTTCAGGAGGAACTGATATCTCTGGTTAACTATTTGTTCTTTTGTTATAGTTTATAAGTCACTTATTTCACTCAGCTTTAATTTCAGTAAAATAAGAAACTGTAAAAAATTCTTTATAGTTGTTGGAATGATAAAAGAAGTTCTGGTTCAGTGCTGGTATACCAGCCTTTAGAATCCTTGAATACTCTGATGTTTCAAGTTGAGGCCATATTTGGAAAAATCATGTCATAGTGATTATGTTCTTTTCAAGGCTCATTCTTTATTTGAAAAGAAGCCATCTGTTCATCATATCACCAGCAGCACTGGGTAGTTAGCTTAAAAAGAAACAAAACCCTTTAAAGATAAAATTTTAATGAAGTACACCAGGAATAAACAAAGCAAGTCCTTTCCCCCTTCTACCTTTACAAATCTTACTGGAAGAGTGTTTGGAAATTAAACTTTATGTTTGTTAAGATTCCTATTGGGAGTTTTAAGAAGTAATATTGTATATAATGAAACATGTGTAAATTATTGCAGTTGACACTTTCCCTTGCATCAGTAAGTTCTCTGACAGTAGCCAAAAGTCACTTGCAGAAAATAATTGAATATATATTCAAAATAATAGCAATCAGGCTGTGGATATTCTTTATCAAAGTCTTCCCAGGCAGTAATCATTTTTTTTAATTGCTGTAATTTTCTAAACTTATTTTACTAATACTGAATACAAAAAACAGTCAACAACAAAAAATATTTTTCTAAGCTGCTGTGATTTTTACACATTTGTTCTGTGAACATATATATCTTTAACAGGGTCACTTAGGTAATTGGGCTATTTAACAGATGTGCTCAGAGAAAACTATGATGCATTTTGACAAATTGATTTTTTTTTTTTAAAGATTTTATTGGGGATTGGGAGAGGGGAACAGAAAAGTTGCTGTGCTTTTGTTCTTCAGTCTAGTTGTGGAGAACACTGCTTCACTGGCCCATGTTGGTATTATGATCACTGTGCTATTCTCAGCTGAGGCAGTCAGTCGCAGGCCATTGGATGGCTACTCATGGTAGTTTATGGCAGCCCGATGGCAGCCCCACTGCAGCCTATGCAGTCGTGATTCATGGCAGCCCAGCTCCAGGTTGAGCTGTTGTTCACCATTTTAGCTGTAGAGGGTTCAGTGTCACTAGCTCATTGGGAACTGAACCAGCAGCCCTGCTGCTCAGAGCTCATGCTCCCAAGCCAACTCTCAACCAACTGAGCCATTCGGCTGGCTCCGGACAAATTAATTTTAAGGTATAGTTTCTAAAGCCCTATCCTGGCAGGAATTGTTTTGTACCAATTACATAGCCTGCCTGATGTACCAACATTGCACAGAGAATCACAACCAAGAATGTGGGAGGGTCATAGCAGTGGAACTTTATACATTTTTTATTTTGAGAGCTTAAAACCAAATTGTCTTGGAATGTAAAGATGTATTTCTGTAGCTTTCAGCACAGAGGAGTGTAAAGTAAAGTTGAGTCAGTTTTTGTTTATGAGTCAGGACACAGCATGTATAAGAAAGATAGCTGAAGTAATTTGGATAAAGGCATTGGAATACTATGGTGTATTTGTTTTTACATTGTGCATTTTAAAAACACAATAGGACCAGCCGAGTGTCTCAGTTGGCTTGGGAGCATGAGCTCTGAGCATCAGGGCCGCTGTTTCGGACCCCACATGGGCCAGTGATGCTGCACCTTCTACAGCTAAGATGGTAAACAACAGCTCCACCTGGAGCTGGGTTGTCGTAAGTGGCAGGTGACAGCTAGGCTGCAGTGGGTTTGCAGTGGGCTGCCATAAGCTACTGTGAGTGACCGGCAGCCAGCGTGAGTGGCTGTCCAATGGCCAGAAACTGACTGACTCAGCCGGGAAGAGCGCAATAATCATAATACCAACATGGGCCAGTGAAGGAACGTCCTCCACAACTAGACTGAAGAACCAAAAGACAGCAACTTGTCTGTTCCCCTTCCCTGATTCCCCAATGCTGTTCCCATCCCAATTCCCCAATAAAAATCTTTAAAAAAAAAAAAGTAAATATTCTAAATTAAGTCTCACTTCTGGGTCATACGGATTCTGTCATGGAAACTTTATTTTTAGAAGATCACTAAAGACAGGAACCATGAGACTTCAGGAAAAGAGAGAAAAGGAAATGTGTAATATATGGGCCTTGTTGCCTCTAATCATCAGTATAGGGGTTTCTTTCCTTAATGGTGGTAGAAAGGTCTCATTTCCATAACTACTCTTGATACTTTCTTTAGAGGCACTTTTTGTTAAATAATCTTCTCATGAGATATTGAACAGGGAGCTGGGAGTCTAAGGTGCTCAAGTCCTGGCTCTTCATTGAAATTAACTGTGTGACCTTGGGGAAGTCACTTAACCTCTCTGTGCTTTAGTCTCCCTATCTTGTAAAATGGGAGTAATACCTGCCTCACAGGGGATTAATTAGACATAATGTCTATAAAGCAACTAAAGTTCTTGAAGAAGGTGCTATATAAATACAAAATAATATCTACTAAAGTTGGCTTATTTGGGAAAAAAGAAACAAATATTATCTGCTATTATAACAATATTAATCATAAGACAAATAATAATTAACATCAAAGTAAAATAGTATATGTAAATTATTTTTTCGAGTTTATGAAGTCTTTTTGTATTTTCAGTTTCAAGGCTGGCCCAACCTGGGCCAGCTCTACAGGGGTACCAAAATCATGATTAAATTATCTTATTTGTTCAGAATTTTCTTTTCTATATTAATGATATCAGAATGGGGCTTTTGAGTAACATGGGGATTCATTAAGAAATTAAAATAGCACAAAGGAACAACTGTATTCATCTTTACTTTATAATTATTTAAATAAAAAGAGACATAACTAATTAAAATATGTATTTCCCAGATATTTTACTGCTTTTCAAAGGTCCTTCATATTTTGGGGCTTGTAAATTCTTCTGGTTGCAAGTAATAAAAGAGAGAATTTAAGATTTAGTATTGGCTTTAAAAAGCCATACTCTGTCCTGTTCTTTGTTTTTACTTTCTTGGATCATTAACACTAACAATAATGGCACCTAAAGATATCAATACCCTAATCCCCAGAATCCGTGAATGTTACTTTACTTGGCAAAAGGGACATTCCAGGTGTAATTCAGGATATGGACCTTGAGTTGTTGATATTATACTGAATAATTTAGGTGGATTTAATAAAATCAAATGACTCCTTAAAAGGATAATCCAGGATAATTTCTCTATCTCAAGATCTTTAATTTAATCACATCTGTAGAACTTCTTTGCTATATATATACTTTAAATATTATATTCACAGGTTTCAGGAATTAGGACCTGAATAGCTTTGGGGGCCATCATTCAGCCTACCACAAGACACAAAGTGAAAAAGAGTGATACAGAGACTGTATGACCCCAAAAAGAGCTAAGAGAGACCAGAGATTCAGAGCGAAGAGAGTGCCTTGCCTTGATTCCTTAAGGATTTCTAGTTCCTGATTCTAGTCCCTAGCAGATCTTGCTATTTCTTACCTTCTTGGGTTCTGTATAGCACTCTTGATTATTATTATAATAAATACTCATTGTACTTAATCTAGCTTGATACATGTTTTGCTTTTATTTTTCCCCAAGCAATTGAATTCTAGGATACTTCTTCTTCTATAAATGATGATTATATTGGCCAGTTACCACAGTTATGCCTTTTGAATAATTGGTTTTCTTTTCAAACCAATTTCCTCTTACTGTGTCCCAGGCTGCCCTGATTGGCAGGTCTGCCAGACTGTTAGGCAGGCCAAGAATACTCTGGCTCAGAAAAAGTGGATAACTTCCAGGTTAATTTCTGTTTCCTCTCTTAAGTTTCTTCCCATTCCACACCTCATGATTTAGTGAGGAGCTAAAGTAGACTGGAGTTCATATACTCTAAATTTCTGCCACTCATTTGCGGTATAGGTTGGGGCAAGATGCTTAGCCTCTGTGAACCTCAGTTTTCTCATCTATAAAGTGAAGATTAATAATATTAGCTTCTCAAGGTTGTTAAGAGGATTAAATGAGGTATATACATACATATTTAAGTACACTGTACTAACCCTGGGATATGTTACTCCTCTTTTTTGTTTTCATTGTTGTTGTTGTTGTTGTTGTTCTTCTTCTTCTTCTTATTACCTATAGTATTTAGTTGTCAGGAATAAAGTCAATCATCTTGCAACATCTGAAAAGACCCAATAAGAAGTGTTCACTTTAATTACACGTGGTTGTATTTCTTAGACAGTTCAGCCTACAATAATAGAAAGAGAAAGGAAAAGCACACACTATATTCTTCACATTACAGATTAAAAAACTAAGGTTGAGATGGGCTAAGTGTAACCTGATAGAAATGATAAATCCAGGCTTAAAATTCAGGATTTCTGACCAGTATTTTTCATCAATCCATAATATTCTGTGTGTGAGGTGGTCCAAAAATAAGGTTCAGAACACGTTATTTTCTCTATGGCTGAATTGCCTCCTTTGGACCTGGCTATAGTATTTTGCATTTGCTGCAGCATGAGCCTTTTCATATCTTCCCACACATCTTTGATTTTATGGTTTTCAAGCATGCCTTCTGCACATTGAGTCCAAGAGTTGAAAATAGCCATTCTTAACCAACAAACATTCAAGTTCTCCTGTGCAACAGCGTTTCAAGTTCTCCCATATGTTAAAGACATCATTTTGTTGACTGCTTCTCTCCCAACTTCCTTCACCTTTTCATTCCTTAGGCTATAAATGAAGGGGTTAAGAAGAGGAGTCACTATTGTGGTGAGAACAGCTGTCACTTTGTCAAAATCCAGTGAAGAGCTCTGGCTGGGCCTCACATACATGAAGATGTTGCTCCCGTAGGCAATAGAGCTGACAGTGATGTGCGAAACACATGTGGAAAAGGCCTTCTGACGACCTTGGGCCAAGGGGAAGCGCAGGATGGTAGAAATGATATAGGTGTAGGACATGGTGGTGAGCCCCAGAGAGGTCAGGAGGACAAGGGAAGATAAGAGGAAGTTTATCATCTCAATGAAATGGGTATCAATACATGCCACCTGTAGCAGAGGGGCAATGTCACAGAAGAAGTGACTAATTTCTTTATAACAGAAAGGCAATCTGGAAACCACAATAGTTGGGCACAGCACTGACAGAAAGGCCCCCACCCAGCAGCCCAGAACCAGCAGGAAGCAGACCCTGTTGTTCATGATAAGGGTGTAGCGCAGGGGGTTGCAGATGGCCACATAGCGGTCAAAGGACATTACTGCCAGGAGGATAAACTCTGCTGTCCCCAGGAAAAAGAAGAAGTATGTTTGGGTGATGCAGCCAGCAAAAGATATGGTTTTCCTCTCCCCTAGGAGACAGGCTAAGAGCTTTGGGGTCACTGAGGTACTGTATAAAATATCCAAAAATGACAAAGTACTGAGGAAGAAATACATTGGGGTTTGGAGGCGACTATCAGCCCATATTAGGGAAATGATGACAATGTTTCCCATTAGAGTAAGTGTGTAAGTAGACAAGAGGACTATGAACAGGAAAATCTGAAGATTCTGGAGAACAGGGAAGGCAGTCAGGGTAAATTCAGTCACTGTGGTCTGATTTTGCATCTCCATAGCATGCAAAGCTTACTGTGCAACATGTCTCTGAAAAAAAAAATTTAAATTAGAGAGAGGAAAATCAGCTTAAATAAGTTTTCAACTCTCAATATCAGTGATAAGATGAAGGAAAAAAACCCCAACAACTTTGAATTTAGAGTTGAGTCATTTGTTTTCATTCTACCTCTGACCCTAATAAATGTGGGACCTTGGATACATTACATGACTGCTTCTAAACGCAATATTCTCATATGTACAGTTTTTGGTTGAATGAAATTATCTCCATAGTCCCATAAAACTCTAGTCTATATGATTTTGTTTTCTTTTACCCAACACTCCTTCCATTCTCGCTGTCACTCTTCCTGATCTACTATTTTCCCGGTTCAGTTCTGTGCCTAAGAAGAGAGCCGCACTTAACTGAGAATCTTGTCAATTTGGAACACGAAGAAAGGGAATGTTAATAAAAATTGAGTTACTTTTCTCAGTTATTTCAATTTTTCAGGTATTCATCTAAATCAAAGAGCAGAAACTATGAATACTGGCCAAAACAGTCAAATGAAAGGGAACTTGTATTTGTCTTTACTCACTTTTGTTATTGGCATTGTGTTGTGTATCAATATAATATCTAGTTGGACCCAAGTTATTTTGATGCAGTAATATTGATCTCTCTATAAGGCTACATAGTTTTTCTTTATTTTTACTTCTTATAATGATATAAATTTTTTATCTCCACACTTTAACAGAGCAAGTAGGTCAATGATATATGGTTCATAATTTGCATAGCCTATTTTATATATTTGAAAAGCCTCTTTTGGGAAAATGATCAATGTGTTTCTTCCTTGTTCCTTGTAATGCTACATCTATGGCAGCATCCAGAAGAATAAGCAGCCCCCTCGCTCTACTTCCCCAACTGAGTCTTATAGATTCTCTCAAATAGGTCTCTTATAGCTTATGTTCTTTTCAACCATTTGAAGATCAGGTTATTAAGAGTAGTGAAAAAAAGTGGATGCAGATAGATTGTGCTTGAAACTCTCAGCTTAATCTTTGAACATTTCTCAACTTTGCTGAACATCTATTGCACGTCTATATAATTCAGTTGAAGCATAGTTTTTGGTGTATAATTTTGTGGCTAATCCCTTAGCTTTAAGTTAAAGTAACCAATTTACGAACCCTGGGCTAGTTTCTTTCTAGGCTTGGACCTCTTTTGAAAAAAGTCATTTTCCTCAGGCTCTCTCTCTGGGAAAAGGACCTCCTAGATACTTAGTCTGAAAGATTTTTTTTTTCTGAACAGATTTCCACCTGAAAAGTTGGCTGTTACTTTCTGGTTCCTGTGTTGCCTCATTATTTCTACAATATTTAGCATTCATTTATCCCACAAGTCAAATTATCCATATATATATATATATATATTTAAATTGGGGAATTGGGGGAGGGGAACAGTGTTGGGGAATTGGTGAGGGGGGACCAGACAAGTTGTTGTTCTTCAATCTTAGTTGTGGAGGGCGCCAATTGCCATGTGGCTGCCCGTTGGCAGCTCGTGGCCTCTAAGATCAAGGTGCTGTGTTACAATGTTAGTTGCAGGTGGGCGTAGCCACCATTCCATGTGGGAGTTAAACCAGCAGCCTTGTTGTTAAGAGCACACGCTCTATCCACTGAGCCATCCGGTGGCAGCTCAGCTCAAGGTGCCGTGTTCAGTCTTAGTTGCAGGAGGGCATGGCCCACCATCGAATGGGCAGTCTTGTTGTTAGGAGCACATGCTCTCACCAGCTGAGCCATCCTGCCACCTGTTGGCAGCTCAGTGGCAGCTCAGCTTGGGTGCAGCATCACTTGCCCATGTGGCAATAGAACCGGTGGCCCTGTTGCTCAGAACTCGTGCTTTTAAGCTTACTCTTAACCAACTGAGTCACTCGGCTGGCCCAAGTTATCCATATATATATATATATATATATATATATATATATATATATATATATATTTTTTTTTTTTTTAGCTGAGCCATCCTGCCACCTGTTGGCAGCTCAGCAGCAGTTCAGCTCAGGCCAGGAATTGAACTGGCAACCCTGTTGCTCAGAGCTTGCACTCTTGAGTGAGCTCTTAACCAACTGAGCCACTCGGCTGGCTCTTATCCATATTTTTTAATAAGAAAGGATTTGTAGTTACCTTCTCTGTTCCAGATAAGGAAATGATGATTTCTTGAAATTATTTGACATTTCTAGGTTGTTGTAAATGCCTTTGGAAATGAATATGATATCCACCCATCTAAGAATAATTTTCAAATGTGATTGGAGCTAAATAACTTCACTTGCTGTTGAATTTGTGGTAGAACTCTTTTTACTGTCTTTAATCCTGGACATCAGTTTCAACATCTATAAAAGTATTGATCATCTATATATTGCTTTATTTTAGATATATTTGTTTTGTTTTCCATGAAGGCAGGCAACCTATCTATTTAACCCCCATTCTTTGAGCACAAAAGGTGCTCATTTATTTACTAAATACATAAATCAGAATTTAGGTAGCTCCTTCTTTAAGGTTTAGAGATGGCAATGATCACAAGCAGGAGAAAGTCTAGGATGAAAGGTAACAATTTACAATAACAAGGTGCATTATTCCATTTCTTCTAGTAATCTTCCAAATTATTACAAGGTAGTTTATCTAATCTTTTTTTAAGTTATGAAAATACTCCAAAGAGTCTCATCTATGGGGTTTTGGTACCAAAAGGAACTCTTTCCACCATAAATATTCTAATTTTCATTTTTTCCCAAGCTGCTTTTGCACCAAAATAATAAACTCCCAAACTGATTACTATTGCACAAAAAGGCATAACCATGTCTTGGTGGACAAGTATTAATGTTACTGAGGTCTAATATAAAAATGGAACACATCACACACTGTGTAGACAAGTAGAAACACTAGGATTTCCTTCTATTTACCCCTCCCACCTTCATCACTGATGGCATTGGAGATTAATAGGTACCTAAGGCAGGATAATGTGTATTATCATGCAGCTGCTAACCATCTATTTCACAGTTTCTTCCATTTATCTAATTGTTTCACAACATTCTCCATTTCCCCTCTTGTCTATATAGTCCTTGATGGCCCTGGGAGGAACATGATTCCACCCTCCTGGAATTATAAAAGTTAGTTAATGTGGGATCTTCAAAAGCATTATGTCATAACATCAAAAATGTGGAATGTTTGAATATGAATAGAGTTGCTGTTTTCCGTGGTTATCATAATGGTTATATATAACTATGGAAAAAAATGGCATTGAGAGCTTTCTCTTCTGTTGTATTTGGATCAAATATACTTCTCTGGGGACAAAAGATGTGGTATTGCTTTCGTTTGTGAGGTGTCAACTTCATGATGGTGAAAAAATAACCTGGCTTTTCCTAGATGATCTTTGTTCTTCCAGGAGCCCATCATGTCTAGAAGGAAAGGCTCTGGACCATGCAATCTTGTGTATAACAATTTAATTGTAACCTTACCAAATTAAGGCTTTCATTTTGGGGGGCAGGGGGGGGTATTTTCTTCAATATCATTTATGTGGATGCTTAAAAAATTTCATAAAATTGCACTTTTCATGATTCCAGATTTAGTCAGGAAAATGTGAAATAATGGAAAAAGTATAGCAAGTTTTAGAATAAAAGGAACTGTGTTATATTTCTTGTTTGGCTACTTGCAGCTTCGTGATCTTTAATTAGACCCTTAAGCACATCCTGAGTCTTATCTTCATTATTTCTGAAATGAGGATAGTCCTAATGCCCAAATTAGGTCCTAAGACAAGGTCTACCACTGTGATGTATATACCTGTTTGGTGTTCAATAAATGTTTGTTAAGAACATAGGGCTGGGGAAGGATGAACCAAAAAATACTAAGATGTGGTGGTGGGGGGGCAGGGGTTAATGATAATTTGAGATCTGTGCAGCTATAAGTAAAATGTGAAAAAGTTTAATTGTAACTGAAGTACATTAAAAACACATATTTGATATCTACCAGAACTAAAAAAATGTTTTTGGCAGACCAGTAATTACATTTTAATTTATAAAATATACATTTAAACAAATTCAGTAAGACTTTGTTTAACATATAAATATGGATAATTACATAATAGTTACATTATAAAGTACTTAATAAAGTATATTATTACATAATAAAGTTTACATATTACATAATAAAGTATACTTACATCATACTGATTGTAGAACAGTTGGTATTTTCTTCATTCAAATATGTTAAGAAACTTGATCTTGGGGTATTTTTTCCTACTTCATTCCATCCATTATTTTTGAAATTATTTTATTGCTTCAATTTTGAATTCCACATAAGTCTCTCTCAGTCTTAGTCTGAGATTCTTCTCTGTATGATACTTAATCCCTTTTTCAAAACCACACCAAAGCGTTATTAACTTTTTGCTTAAGTGCTTGCTCTGTCCTTCTGCCTTTGAATGAAAAACTGCCCTTTTATAACATTTGATTAATTTTCCCAGTTTTTTTCTTATTCCCACAGAAAAAGTCTAAGCCTTGACTTACACTAAATAAATCTGAGTGTTATATTATCATTTAATCTTTCATTTTACACATCCAGTGTATCTCAATCTCAGTATATTCCTCTGAGTTTCAAGTAATATATATTCAGGATCACATTTTTGCCAATGGGGCAGAATGATTAGGTTTGGTGACAAATCTAGAAGTCAGACAAAACTGAGTTAAGAGCAGGTCTCCTGACCTGTGCTTTAGATTGCTGGCAAAAATATCAGAAAGCTACCCACCTCTTAGATTGATTTTTCGGTTGTAGCACTGTAATTTCCTGTCTATTCAGTGAATTTCTATATTTCTTCTGTCGATCCATCCAGAAACTTGGAATCACTCAAAACTATAGAATGTCATATTAGAGGAAAATTTAAAGAGCATATAAGCCAACCTGGTCCAAAAATATTCTGCAATGTCTCCATTAAGTTATTGTCCAGTGATGTTAGTCTCACTATTTCTTGAGGCATCTCATTCTACTTT